TTTGTTTTGGTTCAGCCGAAGGTCTGTCTGAGGCCTGTGCTGCTGAGAGCTGAATGAACCTGATTGGAGTCAGAAGACTGAAAATAAAGTTCTAAAGAAGAAATTCAACTGATTCCTGTTTTATTCGGACATACCATTATGAAGAACACATATTGTTCCAACTAAGTTTCTGGAACACTGAGAACCCAGAGCAGATAAACTGAACAATGAGTCAGACACAGGAAAGAAAGAGTAAGTAAAATTTATTTACAGGTGAAAATAAAGTAAGTCCAAAGAGAATGGACACTGGTGGTGCAGGTGGATGGCAGAGAAACAAGGGAGGGCAAGGATCCAGGAGAGAAGTACGTGGCAAGGTTGGTACTCACAGGTATGTGAGGTGTTTCCAGAGAGGGGCTTGAAGGCACACAAGTAACCAGAATTTGAATCCAAATGTCTTAATGATCCCACATTGAACAGAGGAGTTCAAGGTTGTTAAATACAAAGTGAGCTCATCATTCTGTATGTTGTGGGAGTTTCAGAAAAACTGAGGTGTTTATTCTCTAAACATGACGTCCCAGTGGCTTTCAAACCCCAAACACATTACAGCAAAGATCAGTTCACCCCAAAGATTCGGTCCCACGGCACAAGTAACGTTGTATATGCTGTTAAGTGCCAGGAGGACTGTGATCAGTTATACAACAAAACAGCCACTGTTCAAAAGAATGGGCCAGCACAGATGAGCAGCATCATCAGGCCAGGACTCTGCATTTTACACTCATATACAGACCAGAACTCATTAGTTTACTCATATACAGACCAGGACTCGTTAGTTTACTCATATACAGACCAGGACTCGTTAGTTTACTCATATACAGGCCAGGACTCGTTAGTTTACTCATAAACAGACCAGGACTCGTTAGTTTACTCATATACAGGTCAAGACTCTGCAGTTGACACTCATATACAGGCCAAGTTTCTGCACTTTACACTCATCTACAGGCCAAGACTCTGAAGTTTACACCCATCTATGGGCCAGGACTTGTAAGTTTACACTCATCTACAGGCTGAGACTCTGCAGTTTACACTCATATATAAGCCAAGACTCTGTAGTTTACTCATCTACAGGCCAAGACCCGCTAGTTTACACATATCTACAGGCCAAGGCTCTGCAGTTTACACTCATTTACAGGCCAGCGGCCACTCTTTCAGGGATGAAGATGTTCTCATCCTTGATAGAGAGGAACGTTGGTTTGAGAGAGGAGTAAAGGAAGCCATTTTTGTGAAGAAAGACCGTCCATCATTAAACAGAGGTGGAGGCCTTCGTGTCCAGTTGTCCCCCTCCTACAGTGCTGTTATTGCAAGTATGACTCAGCTCCCTGTGAGCAAAAGGTGTGAATAAGTGATAGTTAGGTGATAGGCCACATGACCTTCTATGATCAATAGGGCCAATCAAGGCACCAACGACTTATAATTTGGCTGACGGCCCTCTTTTGCAAATGACTAACCTGTTTGTCCAGGTGGAAGCAGTACTTATGAGGCGGAGTTCATTTGAAACTCATCAGAYTGAAGAAGTCTCTTGGAGGAGAGAAAAAACATTTCATTAAAGAAGAACCCATCCAGAGAAATGTTAAATTAAATTTTTTTCAGTCACTAGTTGGACATCTATGACTGACTGAATTTAATTGAAAAGTAAAGTATGTTTAATAATTTTGTCTCAAAGAAAAAGCTTATGTCTTTTTTATCTGTCATAAATTTGGGACAATAGAATGTAATGTTTGTAAAGCTTTGACTTTATTCAAGAGTCTGTGATACACCATACTCCCACAATACACACACATACACCTTTGTACTTGCATCAAACTGAGGATTTTGTATTGAGCTCCATTTATTTTTGTAACTGTATTTATGCCTAACCTGGACATTTTCCCTAAAACTAACCATAACTGGTCCATTCCTCACCGTAACCTGAACCAAAACTTAATTCACACCATACCTCTAAACC